GTTGAGGGACACCCCTTACCCAGCATGCCCGTGAAAGGTGGAAAGAGACCGGCGCGCCGAGTCAAAAACCCCCCAGTGTCCCCTCTGTGGGTGCATGCGAGCTCCACCCAGAAAGTGCCCCAGTTCAGAACTGAGCCCCAGAATTGTGCGGCACCACTGCTCGGCTCTCATCGCCCTAGGTGTTCGTCCACTCATCCCTCCATCCGTGATGCCAAGACATCATCTGATCGGGGTTCCTAATCTGTGACAGTTGGGATTGGCACACAGGACGATGTATTGCTGAGAAAAACTCTTTCTTTCAGGGCGGAGAGGTGGCTCTGTGGCTGAGGATCTGCGCCTGTGGCTGGGGAGACTGCCGGTTCAAATCCCGCAGCCGGCAGAGGGATCCTACTCCGTTGGGCCCCCGAGCGAGGCCCTTCACCCCCAGCTGCTCCAGGGGCGCCGTACAACGGTTGACCCTGCGCTCTGACCCCCAGCTTCTCTCTCCCTGTCTGTGTGTCTCCTGGAGAGCAAGCTGGGGTCTGTGAAAAGACACATTCCTAATGCAAGACATTGTAGATGGCTGATAAAGTGAGCTGACCTTTACTAAAATCATGACCATACTGTTAAACCCGCTTTTAAATGAAAAACCTGATGCAACACACTCATTCGAGCTAAGATGCAATGCTTAATGGAAACATGAATTTCCTTCAGGTTAAGGACAGACTGCGATGATCCCGTCCTGCCCCGAGGTGTCCTGCGGGCAGTGCAGGCTCTGCAGCTGCTCTCTCACCAGGGGCAGGTGCTCCTCCTGGGCCCTCTCCATGGCGATCTCCACCATGTTGGAGGACAGATCCATTCCCAGCACCTGCGCGCCAAACGTCTACAATGGGCCCAAAAGCAGAACGAGAACCTTTTAGCCAAAGCACAGTATTTTGTTGATTGTCACATGGAGATTCAATGACTAACCCCACAACCAACCCCAACCTTGACACCAAACCTACCCCTAATCTTCATCTCAAACCTAAACCCAACCCTAAGATTAACTTTAACCTTAACCCCAAACCTAACCTCAACACTAATTCCAACCCCAAACATAAACTCTAACTCTAACCTCAACTCTAAAACTGTCCCTAAATCTAAACATAACCATCATCCTAACCTTAGCCTCAACTCGAAGAGCTTCATAACCATAACCCTGAGCCTAAACCAAACCTCAAACCCAGCCCTGAGATTAATGCCAAACCCAAAACCCAAACCTAATCCAGATCCCAACCATACCCCTAACCTCAACTCTAAAACTGTCCCCAATTCTAAACATAACCATCATCCTGACCTCAACCCCAACTTCAACCAAAACCCTGAGCCTAAGCCTAACCTCGAACCCAAACCCTAAGATCGGCTCTCACCTTCGCCATGTAGAAATCGCCGCCCCCGATCCCACAGCCCACGTCCAGCACTCGCTGCCCAGGCGACAGATTCAGCAGGTCCACAAACTCCTTCCAGGTCAAAGGTCAGGTCGGCGCGGGGGGACGGCACAAGTGACAGGTTATGGGTTTGCCAAATGCTGGTCTTCCCCTACCATTTCCTTTCTTTTTCTTCTCACTGAACACCACAGGACGGGTCAGCACTCCATCTTGGTTTTTAGCTGTCGTTTCTTTGTCTGAGGATCTGCCCCTTGTGACATCTTTAAGAGGGCGGCAAGTTCAAACAAGATGGCTGCCCCACATCTGGACTACATTTCCCAGAATGCTGCTGGGACTGAGACGCTGCCCTAAAATCACCTGACCAACTTCTGCCAGACAAGTGGTCAGGAGATGGTTTAAAAAACCAGGATGCAGAGGCTTCCAGCGTTGGTTAGATCTGTAATCCTTTATGGTACGCTTGCACCAGAGGAAAATCGGGTTACCAGACGAGGAATTTGCCCATCATTCGCTAACCCCTAGCGAGGAACACTGCACAGAACCTGCAGTCGAGACTGTCATCTCACGTGGAGCCACTGTTTGGGCCAACAGGAGCATCAGTAAAGTAGGGAACATCTACATCACCCTTGGAAATCCTGACCTTTGATGTGGAGCATCTAGAGTCGATCGCAAGCACATTGTTTCAGCTCGTTTCTTGTGAGTCGCTAGTGTTTCCCTCCTTCGTGGGCCCTAAATATTTTGTAGGCCCCTAGGCACTGTGCCTGCAGTGCCTGATGGGAA